TATATATATATATATATATATATATATATATAAATATAATTTATTTTTAAAAAAGCTGTGGTACATTTATACCATGGAATACTATGCAACAGTAAAAAAGAAGGATCTCTCACCCTTTGAGACAGCATGGAGGGACCTGGAGAGTATTACATTAAGCGAAATAAGTTAAACTCACTTGACCTGCTGCTTATAACTGGTCAATTCTCAACTCGTAAATGTCACCATTTACTTTTTCTACTTCTGTCCCTGCCTAGCACCCCTGAAAAAAGTCACAGCTGTGTGATTGTTAAATACTTGTTTTCTAGATGAAAATATATAACTCACAGTGCTAGTGAGTTCACAGGATGTGAACGACAGAGTTCAGGATTGCAAAGAAGGAAGAAAACTAACAACCTGGGCGGGACTGGAGGTGACAATGAAGACAAAAAGCTTGTTCATCAAATATGATGTAGGAAGGCTTGAACCACCATCTCTAGCCACCGAGCTTAAGACTAGAGGTAGCTGTGAATGGTGACGTGGTTAAATAACACAATGATCCATGCAGAATGTGACGGAGAGTGCAGGTCTGAAATAAATGGAACTGCTACTTTAACATGTATGCTCTTCACTTCCCTCCACTACACATACATCGTTTCCAGCCTGAATGATAAGAATTTGGCTGGCACTTGACCTCTCTCTGCACTTTATTCTACCACAAAATGAAGAAAATAAGGAAAGGAGATTGAATTAAATCAATGGTTCTCACCCCATATTTTAAATCATGGGTGAAAAAAAAAAAGGTAAACTACTTCTTACCCAAACCTAGTAATTCTGATGTATTTATTCAAGGGTGGAGTTCAGGCATCAGTATTGTTAAGAAGCTACTCAGGGAATTTTAATGTGCAGCCAGGTTTGAGAACTGAACTAAGTATCTCCAAAGGTTACCTTCCTTTTAAAATTTTTTAAATCTACTCTTCTAAATAATTCACTGTCTCTGTTAATCTGTGAATATAACTTATTAAATGTCATATACCAGGCAGTTCCACAAATATCTTAGTAAATCCTCACAACTGTGAGGCAAATATTTCTGTGTCCATTTCACAAATGAGTCCAGTAAAGCTCAGAGAAGCGAAGGGACTTGTTCAGGAGTCACAAGCTGGTAAGGAGCAGCGATAGAATTCAGGTTTGCTTTTTTGTTCCAATCCACTCTACACGCAACTTGCTTTCTCTAGCACTAGACCCAAATGTCTTCTATTCTCTTCCCAGGACCTACCAAACTGAGAACACCAGTTTGTGGTTTATGGATTCACTGGAGAGAAAGTTATCATGGGTAGGGCACAGAATTAACCTCAAATTCTACAGTAATTTCATTACAGGATTACAGAATACCATCTCATACAGGGGTCTTGCAACTTATAAAATAGCATTCTGCAAGCATATCTATGAAGCACATTTTAATCGGGTAAGCCAACATGCACATTGCTATTAAACACACAGCGGGTGTAAAAAGCTGGTTGTCAAAGATAAATTTATCAATAGAAAAGCATTTTTTATATGCTTTCCATTAAGCAAGGCAAAATCCTAAGACAATTCTGACACAACAATAACTGGCAGAAAAAATGAGATCTACTCTATGTATAAGTATCATACAAAATGTTTAGACATTAACTCTATTTCCATCCAGTGCAAATAAATTCAACCATACTTTAAAATTCTAATTATTATCCTTTTGTTGACCCAGGGCTTCTTTGTTGTTTATATTTCAGTCCATCATCTACCTGGAAATTTCCTAACATTCAAGTTCTGAGTTACCAAGGTAAATTCTCAAAAAAAAGGGTGGGTGGGTGGGGGGGACAGGGAACATTTAGCTACTATGACCATGAAAATTGAAATTTAATAAGAAATTCATGCAGTATGTTTACAAGGAACATGTGTGTACCCGTCCACTCAAACCTCCCCTGAGCATGTGCTATGTTCTCTGCACTCTGGGGTTGGAGAGGCCAATCGGACTGGCAGAGCCTGCTGCCCGGGAGGTGCCATGCAGATCAGTGTAACATTTACTGGATGTCATGTGATAAGTGGATTATTCTTGGGGAGAGAAAGGGGCTGTGGTTAAGCAGGACGGGGCGGGGAAGGCTTCAAAGAACACATAGGCTTAAGTGAGTATTTTTAAGAGGAACTTTTTCAGTGCAAGAACCCTTGTAAACCAGTTCTTTGGAAAATATGTACTTAAACTGAGAAACTAAATTAAAATCAGCGAGACACAAGGTGGACAGAGACTGTTCCCCAGGAATGAGTTGTGCATCCGACAAAATTCTGCCGCAGGGAAAATGGGAAGGCTTCAGAGCCCTAAGACCCGGGTTAGAAACCAGTTTGGCTACTAGATTTGTAAAGTTAGTTAAGTCACCGCCTTTCTAGATCATTCCTCATCCAGAAAAACAAATATGTACAATGGCATATACTTGACAGTGGAGTAAAACAAAAAGGACACTTTTTAAGAAGAAAATCAGCAATCAAATCTGAGCGTGAGCTATATTATTACCTATATGGATTAAGAAGCCAATTTCTTCAGGGCAGGTGTTGGGGCTTATCATCCCAGGTAGTTAAGCGTCCTGCGGTTAATTTCACAGGACTTTACAGCTAAAACCGCCTGCATGCAAAGAGAGCCAATTCCTACTCCCTTCACTGGATAGTCAAGT